TCACACCTGCCTAGGGGTTCGTCCTCAATGGAGAACATGTATCCTGGGAGCCCCAGGGGTGAGGTGCCCGTCTATGATCAGGCAGCCAAATGGGTGTGTGCTGGACCACAAGGTTGCCACCTTTGCTAACCCCTCCCAGGGAGGGACACTCTCTTCTGCATGCCAGGGCTGTGTCTGCCAGCCTTCCTCCTCCCCACCCCCTTCCTACTCTGCTGACCCTGGCCCAGCCCCCCCCCCCACCCAAGAAGCATTGCTCCTGGCCTTGGGGACCCACAGAGAGGAATTACTTCAGAGCAACTTTCTTCCCTCTCTGAAGGTGCAAACCAGGAGGAGGAGGAGGAAGAGCTGTGTGGCAGCTACCAGGTGGTCAAGGTGTAAAAACCAGCATTGGGAGGGCAGAGTTAGACAAACCTAGGCCCTGGGGCTGGTGGCCCCACAAGGCTGATGGAGCAGTGGGGACACACTACTAACCTGGCAGGCTCCAGGAAGAAAAGCAGTAGGGTCCAGAAGCCTTCTGAACTCCACCCAATCCCCTGCCCTGGGCAGTGGGCAGGGACTTGAGCCACAGCAGCAGCTTTAATGAGGAGATGCTGCTGCTGTGACTCAGCCCTCCAAAGGTGCCTTCGTTTATTTTATTTTTCCATCATAAAAACCCAAGTTGCAACTCAGCCAGATTCTCTGGCTGTGGGGGTGGGGCACATGGCAGAGCCCAGGAAGGCAAGGAGGGCAGGAGGACTGTCTGAAGCTGGCCCCTTGCCTTTCTTAGAGAGGAGTTACTGGGTTCCCCTGGCTTGTCCCTAGCAGGGAGCAAAAGCCTGGGGTGGGGTCCCCCTATGGACCTTCCTAGACCTGCCCTCTCTGCCTTCTGAGAAGAATAGCTATACTGGGCCTGTTACCCTTAATTCTGCTGTCTTATGACTAGTGTCCAGGTTGGCTCAAGGCCATCTATCCCAGAGCTGCATGTCTCAAATGCTTTCTGCCATAGAGAAGGTCCAAATGACGGGCTTCTCACCTTGTCCGTATGACTCTTCCCCAGGTCTGCCCCACTGAACAAAATCAAGTTGGGAGTTGGAGAGCCAAAGACCTTAAAGGTCATCTGATGCTCAAGTCAGGCCCAGCGTCACTCCCTGGTGCAAAGCCAGGTTGTCTGAATGGTACCAGGAAACTTACTACTCCAAGAAAGCCCATTCTGTCCTTGGCTCTGATGCTCCTTCCTGCCAAGATGGCACCAGAGCTCCTACCCCCTGCAGCAGACTGGCAAAACCGGTGCCCAACCTGACTGCAGGGGCTGGCCCCAGCTTAGACTGGTTGAGTGGGTATATCTGGCCAAGTACAAGTATGGATGGGAGGAAGGAAAATGGAGAGCAATCTGCCCTACCTAGCAAAGCTAGCATGAAATCCCTCCTACAGAAAGAGCACAAGACCCTTCCCAATCCCTGGTGTGTGCTGGGTTGAGAGTGTAACCAGAGCTAGCAAGGTTCCTAGAAACTTCCACTCTTGGAGAGGTCCAAAAGTTCTGTGAATCAAGAGGTGGGCTGGCACAGTAGTAGCTGGGCTGAGCTGGTAAAGCCAAGCTCCTTGCTCCCTGGGTTCAGATACCACATGGGAGGGTGGTCTACAATCTTCCTTGTCCTGCCTGCAGCCTGGGTGTCTTCAGAGCCTGTAGCTACTAGGAAATTCCACTTCAAGAACCAGGCTAACGAAGGCACCTGTCTGGGCTCTCTTGACCCCACCCTTCCTGGCCTCCCCACAGTGGAAGGCTGGGCAAATATGCAACAGGAGGGTCTGTCTATACAGCAAAGGGGTACCAGCCTGGAGCCCTAGCAGCGGAGAAATGGGCCTGCCTCAGAGAGTGACACTACTTCCTCCAACAACTGGACCATAGGGTTTTAGCCACAGTCCCCTTGTGGGTAGTGCTACCCCTCACTAGCTCCCCCTGTGCTCCATGGCCATACCTTTGAACTTGCCCTCTTGCCTACTGGGCCCTTTACACAGCAGAGTCAACTCTGGATTCTCTACTGGACAGCCCCTCTCCTTCCTCAGCTACTTTCAGGAGAGAGAGGGGTTATACTCATAACTCAGATAATCAAGGGCAAGTTCAAAGTGGTTCTTTCACAGCGGCTTTCACCCTGGCTTCCAGTTGTGTTCAGACCCAGGATTCAGCCTGGTGGGGGCCCAATCCCAGGGAGCTTCCCAAGCAGAATGGTTTACCTGTATCTGAAAGCTTCCTCCTTGCCCCTCCCCCACCCAGCTCCCTCCCCCTGGGAAATCACTCTAAAAGGGCCTAATGGAACTATGTCCTCCTCTCTTCCTCTCTCTCCTCCCCCTCCCTCTCTTTCCTTTTTTTTTTTATTAGCATTTGTGGAATTTATTCCCAAACTCTCCTAATCTTCCGTACACAACCATTTGATTTGCATAACCCAACCCCCTCTCATAAAAACTGGCTGCTAGTTTAATTAAAAAATGTAAATTTGCTGTCATCTCGGGGCCTGGTGAATTAGGACGACATCGGCATTTTTTATTGCTAAAGACGTCCAGATTGATCCAGCCCTTGGCTGAACCATGGTGGGGGGAACGGGGTCCACATGGCCCCTGAAGGTCTTGAGGTCCTGCTGTCCCTTCCTGAGAAGCCTGGATTCTCCTGTCACTGAATTACTTATGGTCAGAGTGCTTCAGGCTGGATGTGTCCTGGGCCACAGGGGATGTTAACCCATGAACCAATGCTTGTGCTGGCAACTCTTGGGGCCCGTGTCTCCAGCCTTGTACTGTGTGTGCCAGGAGGCCCTCCGCTGAAGCTGTCCATGCTGCCCTCAGAGGAAGAGAGCCCTGCACTGCACCAGCAATGAGCCTTGGCCAGAGATGAGGCAGTGTCCCCTGTGAGTCCCAGAGGTCAAAGGTCAAGGGGGATGCTCTCAGGTCCGGAAGCACGGAGTTGGCCCAGATATAGACTCAGAAGGGACAGACCTCAAAGTCCTTATCTGCTTCCCCTTTTTTTGTGAAGTGAGGAAAAAGTATTTTTCTTCTGAAGTTCTGAGATTAAGTGAAACTTCCAAGTTCAGAGAAGAGGCTGAGATGATATCGTCAGATGACTCCTCCAGGAAACAGCCAGAACTTTGACACCCTGGACTCAGCATGGCCAGAGTCCAGCCTGGGTCCCATTGGGAGTGCCCTGCTCTAGCTGACCTCCAGGGCACTCTGGCTTCTAGGAAAAGTTTCCAGAGCCTGTCCCTGGATTGCTGGGAGAAGTAAGTCTCCCCAGGGCTCTGGGAGGTGCCCCAGGAGGCTCTGTCACTTGTCTCCTGCCAGGCCATCAGGACACCCACATAAGTTCTGTGGAGTGGTGCCCCCACAGCAGCCTTGGTGGGACTGGCATGGTAGGAGGACTAGCGCCAGCTCCACTTGGCACCCAAGTTAGAAGGAGGAAGACAGGAGAACCTGTCTCCCAATTGAGTAATGCCCACCCACTGCAGAGGCTCACCTGGGCCAGGTAGGGGCCACTGCAGAAACACCTGGCCCAACTCTGAAGTCTGCCCCTTTGGCTTGGATGGCTGGGGGTCCCATTTGCGAAGAAGGGGGTGGGGCCTGAGAGGGAGGTGATGAGACACCTGATTAGAGGTAGGAGTGAGCAGGTTCTCTGTGGGCGTGGAAGGCAGGGAGGGGCAGGGTGGCAGCTGGCCTCAGACACCTTCACAATTTTTCCCAGCAGGGGGCATCACACCCTTCCTGGGCACAGAAGTCCTGAGGACCTCCACAGCCCATTAGCCAAGATCACACCTGTTGGGACACAGTCTAGATATTCTGTGAAGGGCCCTCCACCCACCTCACACAGCTCCAAAGCCCACCACCATGTCACCTGCCCTGATCCCTTCCACCAGTGCTATCTATTCCAGTTGACCTCAGAGTTCGTTTGAATGTCAGCTCTTGGGTGCCAAGTGACCATGTCATGGACTTGGGCCTATCACAAACAAAAAGTCTGACACTAACTCTGATACCACCTTTCCTTCCATAAATGAAACAGAAAGGCTCAGTGGGTTATCAGCCTGTTTGTTTCTTTTAAGACACTTTGGAGGAAGAGAGTTGCATTTGACCCCCTAGGATGTGAAGGTCCGAAGGAAGCCTGAGGGGATTAGGGCAGCCCTCACCCACTCAGGTAGGAATCCCACAAGGGACAAGAACTATTAGATCACAACCACTAAGACACTGAATTCTCAAGACAAACTCTGCCTAGGTCAGTGGTTCACTACCTGGAGCCAAACCCAAGTTCCAGACCCAGGGGCCTAAGTCTGGTGCTTGGTCATCACCCACTTCAGGGTGCCAGCTAAAAGGGGGCTGGGAGAGTCCTGGGCCCCTCACTTTGAACTGATAACAGCCGCCTCAGCCCACAGATTCTCAGGTGAAAAACACTCATTAGCCATAATAAGCAGCTTGATCATCCGACACAGCCTTGTCCCAAATAAATTAAATTCCTTTACCTTGAGACAGTCGCCCCGAAACCAGACTAACCACCTTTCCCAACAGGACGCTGCTTTCAAAAACTCAACCACCCCCCACTAAAAAAATAAAAACACACACCCCATTGCCAGACACACAGAGATCTTTGCGGAGGGGAGTAAACTACTTTTAACACACACAGGAAAACAAAACAAAACAAAACAAAAATACGGAGGCATACCAAAAAGAAAGGGGAAAAAAAAAACACGGAGATCAAAAACCCCCACAAAAAACCCCTAAATCCTCTTTCTGGGTGCCCCCCAGCTCCCCGTCCTCTCGGTTCTTTCATAATGACAAGCATCAAATTAGTCACAGTCACTAGGCAAGTAACAAATAATGACAACACTATGGCCCTCCAGAAAGCAGGGCGCAGGGGCGGCGGCCCGGACCCTCGGCGCCGGCCCGCACCCGGGCCCAGCTGCTAGCTGATTGGGCTAAAAATAATAACTTCCGTAAAAGAACCGAAAGAAAAGCGAAAGAGCCTCCCGTGGGCTCCCACCGGCCGGTACCTGTTCCAAGATCCATTCTCCGCTCCTTGGTCCCAAACTCTGCGAGGAACGTCGCGGGCAGCAGAGGGGAGAGAGAAGACTCGGTTAGTGCCTGCGCGGCCCCCGCCCGCCCGCCGCGCTCCCTCCCGGCTGGCGCGGCGCATCCCGGGCCGGGGGCGCGGGCCGGGCCCGCGGGCCGAGCGGCCAAACTTTCCTCCGAGCCCGTCCCGCTCGCTCTCACGCTCCGGCCGCGCGCGCCCGGCAGCTCCGAGTTCACCAACTCGAGCGGAGCCGCCGGCGGACGCGGCCTGGCGGGGGAGGCCCGCGAGGCCCAGGGGCGCCCACTGCGCCCCGGCCAGGCCCGCCGCCCCGCGGGGGTCGCCGCCGAGCGCCCGGCCCGGCCCTCCCCCGGCCCGCTCCCGGTACTCACCATAGTCGGAGAGTCGAAAGCCGAATTCACTTAAATAATCAACTTTCATAATACTTAATTAATGCCTAATTGCAACTGATTACTCCCCGAATAACAAGTTGTTTTAAAACCCTGATGTCATTGCTCCTGACGGTAACACTCAGGGTAACAGTTTGGCAGGAGGGAGCGCGCGGGCGGGAGCGGCCGGGCGCTGCCAGGCGCCGAGGTGATTGGCAGGGCGGCCGCGGCGCCGCCTCCTCGCCGGGCCCGCGCGGCTCCGGCAGGTGAAAGATCAGCGCTCCGCCCGCCCGCCCGCCTCGCGGAGGTGCTGAAGTGAATGGGCTCGCGCTCGCCCGCGCCGCGCGCTCGCCCCCGTGCGCGCCTCTCGCGCACCGACTCTGGCGGGCGGGCGGGCGGCCTTACTGGCTCAGTGATTCCCCAAACCTTTGACTTCGGGAGGAGGGAGGCGGGGACTCTGCGCTTGGTGAAGCGCGGGCGGGGGAGGTGTTGGGGGGGGGGCTGTCGCGCGGCCGGAGCGAGGCGCTGGCACGGCGCGCGCGCACGAACGCTCCCCTCCGCCGCTCCGGCCCCGCGAACGCGATCCGACGGCCGCCGCGCCCGCGCGCGCGCCCGCCCCTCGCGCCACCGCGCAAACTTTTCCGCGCGGGCGGGCGCAGGTGCGAGGCGCCGCGGGACCGCGCCCGCCGGGACGCGCGCTTTCGCGCTCCCCTTGGCGCTGCCCGGTGGCCCCGGGCTTCTGAGGTATCAAAGACATTTGGTACCCCGATTCCCTCATTTTGTTGTGGTTCTTTGAGTTCGAGGGAAAAAGGAGTCCCGGGCGGTGGGGCTGTGAGTGTCGGGAAACTCGCGCGTCGGCCTCGCGGGCCCCCCGCACCCGCGCTCCCGGGACACACTGGGGTTTCCGCCGCTTCGCTTTGCTTTTGCCCTTGAAATGGGTCCCGGCGCCCTCCCTGCGACGCAGGTCCCTGGTCTCCGGGCCTTTCTTTTTCTTCCTCCTACCTCCAGTTGGGCCACAGCCCCAAGGCCCGACGCGAATGGGTCTGGTGCCCCCTGACTTCCCCTGGGCCAGCCCTCGGGCAGTCTTTTCTCGGGTCGCGCCTCCACTCATCTGCCATCACTTGGGCTGGTTCCCCAACGCGTCCCCCTTGCATTCCCAGACAGAGCACAGGCACCCCTCAACCAAAGTGCCAGGGTCCTGCCACCTGTTTCCTCTGTGCCCTGGGAGTCAGGACCACTTTGACACTGGACTTCATTCCAGACTTCATTTCTGGCGGAACTGGGCACTAACTTCTATCCTTACTCTCCTTTTTCTCCCATAGAGTTTGGTGAGTGTCTCAGCACCCCCCCATCCCCCTCCCCAGGTCCCTGCTGCAGCCATGTATGTTAATAAGCCAAGTTACCTATGGGGCCAGGAGGGCAATTTTGTTAATTCAGGACCTGCTCCCACTGTCCGCAGCTCTCTGCCTCTTGCAAGCCAGGCCTTCTCTCTCCCTACTTCCCTTCTTTCCTATTTTCCAGAGGGGCCACACTCCCTTTCCGTGAAGGGAGGGAAACAGGCCCTTCTCACTCTCTCTCTCTCTCTGATCTCAGGTGGCATTCAGCAAAATGGCGCTGGCATATTTCTGCAATATTTATATTTTGCAAAGAGGAGGCCTTGGGGCAAAGATGTCAATCTACTCTTTCTCCTACTTTCCCCTTATTTTTCTTCTTTTTTCCTAATTATTCTTTGGTTCTAAATGGCCTCACAAGAGTGTATCATCTTGAATTTATTCCACAGCCCTCTCTGATGACTTCTTTGGCAAACCCCATTTCTAGCTGTCACACAAACCTCCCCCTATCCCCAACACTATATGCAGATAGTATCTGGAGAGGCTCAAAGTCTTTACTGAGAGTCCCCTGGACCTAAAACCCTGAGTAGGGGACAGAACTCCTAAACCCAATCAAGCCCCGTGCTACGCAAAGCCAGGCCTGAGAATCAACTGGAGGCCCAGAGAAACCAGTGAGGGAGGACCACGTGCTCTGCTCCCCATGGGGGTTTCAGAGAAGGCATCCTTGTGTCCAGGAATGCTCTGGGGCACACACCTACCTCTGGGTGCTGCCACCTAGGGCACCCCAAAGCAAGGATTCTGCCCTCTTGCAGGTTTGGCTTATAACAATAGGCCATTGATCCCAGTCCTAGGGTGGGCAACTGAGTATAGGGAAAGTCTGGTGACAGTGGAAGGTCATTTGAAGATGTCTGCTCAGACCAGGAGCTCCTTGCATAGGGGACCTGTGTGCCTTTGGCTGGCTTTGAATGTCCTTCTGGGCTTTGGCCGATGGTCAGGAGTGACCCCTGAGGAGTGCCTGGGTGGATAGGAAAGTATCTCTCTTTCCAGTTACCAAGGCAGTGCCTACTGGGTTGGCCATCACGTAACTTTGTGTCCTCTGGTGGGCTAAGACTGGCAGGGAATGGCTCATAGGGCAAACTACGAGGGCTGGGAGGAGGTGGCGCAGGCAGGGCCAGATAGAGGGGCTGCCATGTGCCGCCTATGGTGGGGGGAGACCTGGGCCGCTGGAGAGCGTCTGATCTGCTGAGACAATGGCCCTAGTCAGTCACCGCAGGCGGAGAGGGCCATTCCCAAAAGCAAGGGCCTTTGGTAGAAGAGAACAGATCAGAGAAGCAAGAAACTGAGGCCACCTTGGCGTTTTAGCATCTGAGGTCGGAGAAGAAGTGGGGGCACTGCATGCACGGGTCAGAGGCTGTGCACGGGTCAGAGGCCGTGATGAAGAGGTCCCCAGATTTCTCCCTCTGTCTGTCTCTGGGTGTGTGTGCTCAAAGCAAGGGGAGAGGCATCTCTTGAGACTATGGCCTGCTTCTGCCTTGATGACCCTGACATGGTTACACCTCTGAGACCCTGAGACCAGGCCACAGTAAGGACATTCATGCCTGGAGTCAACACCTAATGCCTCAGTTCTTTCTGGTCCCAGAACCTGGGCCCCAAACCTCCAGCTCTTCCTCCAGATACCCCACCCTAAGAGAAAAAGTGAAGTGGAAACCTTTACAGCAGTCCTCCCACCCAGCGGCTCTGCCAGGACCCAGGAAAGCCACCTGCTCTCCCCAGACAAGCTGCCCAGCTGGCTCCTGTCCTCCCGCACCCCCAGTGTGCCCACTCGTTCTCTCCCTCCCGAGCCTGGGGCCTTCTCACTCACCGACCTGTTTACACACCAGGTATCTCATGCTTTATCTGCTCTCATTTTGAATTTGTAACTTTCACATAAACTTGAACAAAGCTCCTTTTGTTCCTGCACCCCACCCTAGGATCCCAATAAACTGGTTCCCTCTGAGGTGACTGGGCCAGGGCACAAAAGCCCCGGCCAAAGGACCGCGTGTGCATGTGAACCAGCATGTTCGCACCTGCGAGGGAGTCTGTGTGTTTGCGTGTGAGCGCACTCCCCAGGCTCATAGAGGGAGGGTGTTGGGAGAGTGGGGAGCCAGCAGAATGTGGATGGGAAGTGTGGGGAGCTGGGGGGACAGAGGTGCCACGGCTTGGGCCACGGCCCGGGCTCATCAGCCAGCAGAGCCCATGCCTGGGCACGGACAGGTGGGTGTCAGGCGGGGGGGGGGGGCAAATGTGGATGAAAAGGAAACAAAGGGGAGGAAAGAGCCACAGAGTGGGTGGCAGAGCGAAGGGCCGAGGCCACGCTAAGCGTAAGGCAGACACAGGGATCGCATTATGGTAGGGTAGGGGCTGGCATAGCCGCACGCTCGGCCCTGTAATCCTGTTAGCCAGCAATCTCCATTCCGAAAGAGCTTCATTTCTTTGTGAATATTTGTAAACTAGATATCTAATGGAAAATTATAGGAAAATTATAGTGAAATTCATGACGGAGAAATCCGATTATCCCTAATTCAATTATGCCATCTTAGCCCACACAGCACATTTCCCATTTTTTTCCCATAAATACCGATGCCAGGGGTCCTGGTAATCAAATAAAATTGAAAATCATCTTCCCATTAAATTCAATTAGCCGCAATTTCTAAAGCCTATCAGAGATTTTAATTACTAAATTATAAAATTCTCCAATGCTAAATTGAAACCAAAAAAATTGCACATCCTTATATTTCAGAGAAAAAAAAAAGGGGGCCAGAAAAATCCTTGAAAAATGTCCTCCTCTCTGTGTCCAGCTCCAAAGCAGTATCCTCACCTAGAGGACCTCACAATGGCTGCCCTTTGCCTGGCTGGGGAGGGCCCTGCTGGGGCGAATCACACCCCCAGTCCCAGGCAGCTCAGCACAACACGGTGGTGGCCTTCCTCACTCTGGCTGTTCTGGCTCCTGAGATCTCAGCTCTGTCCCCCTTCAAGAGGTCTCTAACTCTCAGTGGCATCTTTTTGGCCAGAAGCTGGGCTTGGGCTCAGGCCACAGCTTGACACCAGGGATCTACGTGGTTCCAGGACAGCTGATCAGAGGCAGCTGGCTTCTCACCCGAGCCCCTGCTCTCTGGCCACTGTGCCATGCCCCCTGGCAGCCTAGGCCGTGTGGGAAATGGAAACAGGACAAAGCCTGGTTCTGAAGGAGGACAGACACCACAGGGTGATTCTGTGGGCCAGAGTCTTCTCCTGGGCATTCCCGAGGGGCCACTGATCCTGGG